CAATGAGTGTAACAATTTGTCATCACAGCTTAACATGAGAAATGAAGAAATTGGATATTTAAGTGAAGAGGTGCAAAATCTTCAATTTGAAAAAGACCAGCTTAGCGAACGACTATTGCAACTAGATGCTGGTAAATATATTCTTTTATTTCCAAAAATATATTTTAAAATTAATTTACAATTATAATGATAATTTTGATTTTATTTTTAGAAAGACAAATAGTCATGGACCATAACACAAGTCTAATCAGAGTTGTTGAAAGTCTTAAACAAAGTGGTGGTTTAACCGGTTTACAAACTCCAACAACGACGATATCTTCTACTGAATCTGATACTTTACCACATGATGTTCCAGAGTTGATTCAAGTCTACACCAGAGTTAAAGCTGAACAACAATGTCATGTCATCAAGATTCAGAGACTTGAAAATCAAGTTAAAGATTTGGAACAAACTAAAGAGAAATTATTGGATTCCATTAAATATATTAGAGGGGTGAACATTCGTCTGAAAAGTCAAGCATATTTGTTAAGCGCAGAACTTGAAAATGAAAGAAAATTACATGTTGAATTATCAGATTATATTAAAGGAAATGATTTGAGTAATCGTGATAAATTATTATTAACAACAACCAATAATAATAGTAGTAATAGCGAAGACGGTTCTGCTCAAAAATTACAGGATCTTAAAAAAGAAAATTCGGAATTAAAGGTAAATCATTATATATGTGGGCATGTGTTTATTTATTTAAATATAATTATAATAATGTATTTGTGTGTGATAGATGGAATATGAAATAATCAAAAGTGAATTGAAGAATATTGAAAAAAATTTAGAAGCAGCAAATAAAGAGTTGTTTAGTTATCGGCTTGAGAGAACAGAATATGAATTCCATAAAAAGTCATTGGAAGGTAGTTGAATGATTGATTGAATGATTGATTGATATATTAAAGCAAAATTATATAATAAACATTATTTTTTTTTTTTGGATAATCAGATAATTACAAAATTCTAGAAGCTCGATTTAATCTCAAAGAAGAAGAATGTCGTAGTGTTAAGGAAGTGTTGGATCAAATACGTAAACTGAATCAACAAATCGAAGAACAATTTTCAAAGGTATATATCATATATACATATATATCAGTGTTTAGTGTGTCATATTTATATTTCTTAATAATATTATTCCTTTATTAATTATGATTTTTTTGATAGGCAAATAATGAAAGAACAGTAATGAGTGCTGAGCTTAATAACGTGAAATTTGAACTAGCTTCAGCCAAGGACAAATTATCTGATTCACAACGAGAATATGTTAAAGATTTGAATGAATTACATGTTGCAAGAGAGAAAGCAGAAAATTCATACAAGGAGGCACAAACATTGAAACAAGCTAATCAAGAACTTGAAAACAAATATAACCAAACACAAGAGGAATTAAATAAATCTCAAGCCGAAGTTGAAAATCTTAAAGTGCAATTATCAGAATTGGATGAAAAACTTTCTAGTACTAATATTAAATGGACTGAAGAAAACCAAAAATTTGTAGATTCTGCTAAACAAGCAAGTGGTAAAGTTGATGAATTACAAACTAGTATTGATGAATTGAAGAAAAAAGTTGAGGAGCAAGCTGATGAATTGAAAAAATCTCAAGAAAGATTGACTGTTTATGAACAAAGTGAGCAAGGAGAATTCATTACTAAATTAAGGTGATATTAAAAAATTTTTTTTTAAAAAAATTTTTTTTCTTTAGTATTTGTAAAATAAAATTTAAATATTTGATTTAATTAATAGGAAAGAATTAGATTCTGCTAATGAAGTAATAAGTGTATCGAATAAGACAGCAGATGATCTTAAAATTTCCCTTAAAACACTTGAACTTGTTTCAACTAATGCCAAAAAAGACTATGAACAAACTAAAGCTACTCTAGAAAAAGAAAGAGTCGAATTCCAGGTATGATTACGGATTTTTTTTTAATGTTAGATTTGCCTCATGCATTTAACATTTATAATTGTTATAATTGTAATGCAGTCACGATCAAAAGATTTTGATAGAATGGATGAAGAAAGTCAAAAAATGAGAAGTGAACTTTCACAAGTTAAACGAGAATTTACAGAAATAACAATGGAAAAGAAACAACTTGAAAAGGAATTGAATGATATCAAAAATAAATTCGAAGATGATATAATACAATATCAATCAGAAATTCGAAAAAAAGAAGATATTTTGACAGAATTACAAAACAAATACAATCATGAATTGCAAATTCATATTAAAGATTCTCAAATGTTGAATGAAGTTAGACAACAATGCTCACAACTACAATCTGATATTAAAAAGATAACGGTAATGATTAATCATGATAATGATGATGATAGTTATTTTAAAAAGCGAACTGATTGAATAATTGATCTTTTGATATTATTTAAATCAGAATCAAAAGGAAACTTTAGAATTGCTATTGTCCCAAGAAAAAGAAAATCTCAATAGGGAATTGACGGAGTCAAGGACCCGGTAAAGATAGATGACAATTAAGATCTTATTCTAAAGATTATTTATTCAAAATTGCTCATTATAAATTTTTTTTTAAATCTAGCTGTAAAGATCTTGAAGAAAGTAACAGTGTCATTCAGAGCTATCTTGATAAGGAAACTGACATGTCAGAAGATAAAGTGATGCCAATACTGAGAAAGGAGAATGAAAGATTAATGGGTCAAAGAGAATTCTATCAACAAGAAGTTGAAAAATATAAAGCACTTCTTGAATTGAAACAGAAGACTTTTGATGAATTGGAACAAACATTAAATAAAGTAAGTGACTGGCTGATAGAAAATATTCTTAATTGTATCATAAAACATTCTGATTGGAGTTTTTTTTTAGGAACGAGAGCAAAAAGATTCTATTGATTTAGAGCAATTGAAATCTCAACTACTTGAGAAACAAAACCAAATAAAGATACTTGAGGAAAGTAATAGAAGTCTTAGATCTGATTATGATAAAATGAAGAGCGAGGTTGAACGATTGAATAAGTCAATAGATGATTCCAATAATGATAAACTTAAAATTGGAGGTATACACATCTTTTTCCTTGAAAAATGATTTATAATATTTATGCTAAATATATCAAAAGTTTTTTATTCAATGATTTTTTTCCTTCATTTTTTTTTTTTTTTTTTTAAAAAAAAAGGCGAGAATGACAAATTAAAATTAGAAATTGAAAAATTTGGCAAAGAATTAAAACGTTTAGAAGATGATAATGTTTGGTGGAAAGATCGATTCCAGAGAGTTTTAGAGAAACATGGAGTATGTACATTCTTTTCTCCTCTACATGATTGTTGTTGTTGTTATTGTAATAATTCTAATCATCACCATTTATATTAATATTTAATTTTATTATAATAGATAAGTGATCCAAATGATCTTCAAAAAATGAAAGATGATTTAAAAAAAATTAAAGAAGAAAGTGACATACTAAAAACTGAAAATCCAAAATTGAAGACAGAAGTACTTAGTCTGAGAAAGCAAATTCTTGAATTCAAAAGACAATATGAAAATTTCAAGAAACAATCTGAAGATACAAAAAAACAATTTGAAGATTCAAAAAAACAATCCGAGGATTCAAAAAAACAATCTGAAGATTCAAAAAAACAATCTGAAGAGTTGAAAAAACAAATAGATGAATTCAAGAAACAAATAGATGACTTGAATAAAGAAATTGCTAGACTTAAGGAAGCTGATAAAAATTTTCAAACTCTCAAAACACAGGTAGGTTTTAGTAATATATATATGTTTGATCAGTAGTTTTTTATTTTATAAATGAATAATAATTTAATAATGTTATTTTTTTTTTTTTTTTGATTTTTAGCATGAAAGTTTAAAAGGTTATGCGCAAAAATTGAAAACAGAATTATTAAGATTAAAAACTCAAGAAACACTTTGGACCAATAAAAATAAAAAACTTGAGAATGAAATTGCTGAGTTGAAAAAGGCTCAAGCAACTACATCGACTCCTATACAGTCGGTAGCTGAAGTCACTCCAACGGAACAACAGCAGCAACAGCAGCAGCAGCAGCAGCAGCAACAACAACAACAACAACAACAACAACAACAAAAACAACAATTGCAGCAGCTGGCACTACAACGACAACAGCTGCAACAAAGACAACAACAACTGCAAATCCAAAAACAACAGCAACTGCAAAAACAGCAACAGCAACAGCAACAGCAGCAGCAGCAGCAACTACAACAGCAACAGCAACAGCAAAAGCAACAGCAAAAGCAACAAGTAGAAGCTTCGGCTGCGGAGACTACTACCATCACCACTCCAGGCCATGTGGATGTTCCTAATCCTGAAGTAATTTCTAAACCTGTTGAAACTCCAAAACTTGAAACAACAACAACTGAAACAGAGACACAAACTCCAACAATAACTAATCCTACTACAACTAAAACTGAAGTTGATGCTGCTGAAACTGATGCTGATGCTGAAAATGAAGCTGATACTGCTACCGCCACCGTTGAACCTACCGTTGAACCTACTGTTGAACCTATTGTTGAACCTACTGTTGAACCTATTGTTGAACCTACTGTTGAGCCTACTACTGAACCTACTATACAACCTACCGTTGAACCTACCGTTGAGCCTACTATTGAGCCTACTATCCAACCTACTGTTGAACCTACCGTTGAACCTACCGTTGAACCTACTATTGAACCTACTATTGAACCCACTATCCAACCTACAGAGACACTAATTAAAACTCAGGATGCACCTAAATCTGAAGAAACATATAAACCACCAGTAAAATTACAAAGACGGGGTCCTTTAGAGCTACCACCATCTACTGTTACTCAAATCAAACGACCTAGAGAAGAAGAACAACCTCAAGCAACAGATGATATAAATAAAAAGGCAAAAACTGATTCTTGATTATTTTTTAATGTATATTTTTTTGTTTTAACATTATTTATTCAGTTAATTGATTAAAGGTTTCTTTATTCAATTAATTGATTAAAGGTTTCTTTAATAATGTATATAAATGTTTTTTATTTTTTTTTTAACTAAAAAAGTATAGAATAGAAATTCATTTTCTCATTTTAATTAAAAATTTATTTTCTTTCAAAACGAACTTTAATATTTTAATTTTGATTATTGGGGTTTTATTATTTGATTACTTTCAATAAAATATACTGGAAAATTTTGACATCTCACAATGAATTTCAATTTCAAATTTTCATTCATTATCAGTTATTGTGCAGGTACTAAAGTAAAAATTAATATTAAAGGTATTAGTATTAGTAATTAGTAATTAGTATAGAAAAAGATCCGTTTTTCACAAATTTATGAAGTCATTTATCCAAGATTATTATGTGAACCAATAATTTCATATCAATTTTGTGGGCAAATTAGGATTTATTATTATAGAGGAAAATGATAAAAGGCGAATGAATGAATCAATTTATGTATTAATTCAACTATCATATCGAAAATTTATTTACAGAGATGTTGTATTGAATAGAGTTGTATTATGCAATGGTAAAGAAGAAAACTAGATACAATGATAAATATATTGAGATGTTTAAAAGCAAATAGTGAAATGTACAAGTATGCTTTGGAATTACGTAAAGAAATTACTTGGGAAAATAAAATCATAAAATTAACTTTACACATTTTTATTGTTATTATTAAAATAAATTATATTGAGGAAAATTCCTAAAAATTTCATTGTTATTTGTTATTATTATTATTATTGATACGTTAATTATGTTAAACCGTTTAAAAAAATAAATAAATAATACTAACCTCTTACATTGAACCTATACTAAGTACAAGTCCTACATAGACAGCCTACAATAAGGTGTCTCGGGTGTAAGCCCCAACATCGTGAACGATTCTTGTTGTTTTTCAGTAATATACTTCAAAAGTATATTTCGAGCTCCGTTTACATCTCTATTAATGGTGGATTTGCAAGATGTACAATTAAAGATCTTTGAACCGCCCAAATTTGACTTGATGACTCCACAACATCCACATGTTTTGCTGGTGTATTCTCAGTGCAGATGATGACCTTGAACCAAGGGTACTCACGGGATTTGTGGAGCAAATATTGGCGAAAACGGTAATGTGACTAAGGCTTCCGGCCGAAACTCTCTTTATTAGTAACCGAAATTGCCAAAACATTTTGGGCAAAAATTACTTTTTTATAAGCCCAACTATTTTTTGTTATTAGCCGAAATTGGGCAAAAATACTTTATAAAGAATGCTGAGAAGCCCAAATTGCCCCAACTAGTTTGGATTTTGAGAAAACAGTTTGGACCGGAAACCTTAAATGTGACCAGGTCAACATTTGTCTTGCTGTTTTAGAGTGAATTTTTCTAGAACCGCATTTTTTTAACCATACCTTGTTTTTTAAACTCAGGGAGCAAAATATATGGTGGTTTTCACACAACCATCTTGCTAATATTTGATGACATTCATTCACAAGATTACGGATTTTCTTATGGATCTTAAGCATGCGTCAACAGAGCTTTATACCTTTTACGTTTATTTGTTTTGTCATGAATAGAAGAATCCCTTTCACCTTGGATTCTATCATAATGCAAGCACAAGCGATGTATTCTACTAATATCCCCTTTTCCCCATTCTAAAACCTCACCACTTGGGTTATATCCAGTCATCAAGGTTCTCGCTCCTGGATCAAGAGAAATAATGCCAGCGCCTTTATTCTCATCAACCACCGAAAATTTAGGACCTTGGTTTGGGGTAGAATTCACCAAGACGATCCATGGTGAGACGAAGTTCATGATTTATTTCGGGTATTTTTTTTGCTTGTTTTAATACCTTTGAGAAATGAATAATGACCACGGTTTCATCCCCAGTCCCTTGATATAATGGTGATGCATTGTGATTTATCCTTTTTAGATCTGAACTTCAATTTAAAGTTTTTTCTTTTCAAAGCAAAATTAGACTTATAATTTTTTAAAAGGTCCATCATTGTTGCATCCCTAATGTCATGAGGTGTGTCAAGAGCACACCTAAGATTAATAATGTCTTTAAATTTTTCAGGTTTATTAGTGATATAATTTTCATGTAAATACTTTTTATCTTTGTTTTTTATATCACTATTAATTGCAGCTAGGCATTGGTTGTATGTCCAGCGTGCACAGTACCAATCCATTTTAATAGTTTGTTTTTTTCCTCCAAATTAGGGTAAGGTCTAATTTTATGAGTTTTTCCTGCTGGAGATTTTTTGGAAGAGGATGCTGAAGATAAAGAAATAGCATCAAAAGAAGATGGTGAAGTTAAATTCTCTTTAGAAGAAATTGCATCTTTAAAATTATTCCATGTTCCATCTGGTAAAAGGGAAATATTATTTAAATCTGTATGTGTTGGTTTAATTGAGTCAACTGTAATCCATGAACCAAAAAGCTATTATTTTTAAAAAGTCGCTCTATTGACTCGAGCACAATACTTCACTATTAGTTTTTAGGGGTAACTAACACCAATTTGTGAGTTTTTGAGTGAATTCATCCCAGAATGGCTTATATCTTTTTACATTCAAAGAAGTTGTTTGTGATCGCGAGTCAGAAGATTGCATAAAAGTTTCAATAAAAATTTATATTTTTAAAAATTGAATATAATTGTGCAAAAAGTAAACACTATTTTTTTCAAAAATTTTTTTTTGAATTTGAAAAAGATAAATTGTAATATATATTATATATATAATAATAAATATTTTCTGTATTAATTGTGAAACAATCAATTATGTTTAAAAAATATTTTCTGACCGTAATTAATCATGAAATCAATCAAAAAATTATTTTCCGACTGTATGTTTGTGAAATTAACCATTGAAATCAGTCAAAAAAGGATTTTCTGATTGTATTTTGGGTCTCTCCCACTTTACCGACAATCAAATAGGTTTCTAGCCCAAATTGCCAAAATAGTTCGAGCTTTGAGAAACAGTTTGGGCTTGAAACCTACTTGATTGTCGGTAGAATGTCCGTCGGTAAAGTGACCCAGACCCGTATTTTTGTGGAATTAATCGTGAAACAATCAATTATGTTTAAAAAATATTTCTGACTGTATGTTTGTGAAATTAATCATGAAATCAATCAAAAAATATTTTCCGACTGCATGTTTGTGAAATTAATCACATGGTTGTAGTAGCGTTGCATGTTAACAATATAGTTACTCTATCTTTGCTTTGTGCCTGCGTACTGACTAAAGTCAAGTTTAGTCAAGTTTAGTCAAGACAATTATTACTAAATTGAGATTTTAACCCCTTTTACGCTGCCAGCCCTGATTCCTATGAAAGCATTCTATCTTTAAAAGCTTGAGCTATTTTAATTACAATTTCCCTTTATTATTTTCCATGTTTGAAGAAAGAAGATACAAACATTATTTTTGTATTGGTTAAAATGGTAGTGATGGTCAGGAATTTTCATGAAAAAAAAAATTAGCATGTGTTATTCACAAGATTACAAATGTTTCAATTAATTCGAATTTGCCAATTTTTTTTCTTTTTTTGTTGAATTTTCGCGTTTTACAAAGGATAAATTGTTTATATAAAATAAATTAAAAATGTTCGAGCCCCAACTTTTTATTAATTTATTTTTTCGACAACATTAACAAATCAACATGTCGACAATTACCACCACATCCACCATATCCTCATCCATAAACAAAGTTATTAATGATAACGAGCAAAATAATAACGGTATTTATTTATTTATTATTATTTAGTAGTTTGACTTTTTCGTTTTTTATAAAAATATTTTTTAAATGTTTTTTTTAAATTTTTCAGAACTAGTTTCGTTAAGTTCTCACTCGAAATATGATGATGGTTTCAGAGAAAGATTTAATCAAAACATGGATAATAAATTTGCACTTCAAAGTACCATTAATAAAAGAGCGGCGAATCCAAATAAAACCAACGCGAAAGGTCTAACGTACTACATTATGAATCCTAGTGATTTACGAGAAGATTATCCAGTCTGGCATTATTTTTATCTTTGCACGCTGATATTTGGAGCATTTATTACTTTATTCATTGTACCTGTCGTATTCGGTATGTTGGCGGCAATTGGCGGTATTGGGACTCCACTTGTTTTATCAATCGTTGGAAGTTTTTTCGGTCTTTTCCTTGGAGCTGTATTTGGCGTTGTATTCGCAGTAGTTTGCATTATTTTCTTGATGAAATCTCTTGGTTTTGCTGCCGAATGGATTTTGGATGTTCTTTCTAATGGTGGTAATGATTTAGTTGAAATTACCAAAGAGCAATTTATCCAATTTGTTAATAACTCTCCATCTCAATAAATATTATTATCATTATTTTAGTAGAAATATTTTTATATTTATATAAATATAGACTTTATAAATGGAATTTTATTTTATTTTATAATTAATAAAGCATTTTTTTTTTTTGCTGGCAATTTCTAATTCATTTCTTTATATCCAAGATGTCATATTAATATATATATATATATATATATATATTTTACTAAAAGTGAATTACTATTTTAAATATAATAAAAATAGGGATTGGAATATGAAAAAAAAAAAACACTATATATTCAGCAGGAATTACAAGGTAGCAGGATATATTGCGTCTAATTATTAAAAATTTTTCATGGATATGCGTGGTATTTGTCAATTTCATTAACAAGTAGTAATGAATAGATTCACAAGACACACTCTACAACTATGGAACGAAATGTAACAACTAATATTACCAGGGAAGAATCACCTTGTAATGGCCAAGGTCCAAATGCACCAATATCACCTATAAAATGAAAATTTGTATATCACTAGCATTTGAAGAAGGAAAAAGTACAAACATGTTGGTTTTGTTGTCAGGTTGTTGAACCGTATATGAATCTTGAATGCATGAATTATTATTTGTAAAAGATCCCAGGATCGTGATCATT